ACAAATCTATAATTTCAGTAATGTTTTGTTTCCATTTTCAGGACTAGATCTAAGTTTTACGTGCAGACATACTCCAGGGGAAAGATTGTATGAGTAAGGCTCAATGCAGCAGGATCTACAGTTCAGCTGATTTTTTTTCTAGTTCAAGTGATCAGCACAAATACTACTAAAGTACTACTAATAAAGAGACAGATGCAATGCCTTCTTACACCATCCTGACCATACCATGACTTCTGGTTTATTTTTTTCACATAACAGAACTGTCTGCCATCCTTGTGACCAGAGCCTGATCAATTCTAGCTGGAAGAAAGCCTGTACCAAGCAGCAGCAAGCAGATCTTGTTTAATATAACTGTATCTCTATGCTCTATACATGTTTTCATACAAATTGAATATCTGCAACTTCATATAAGTATCAGTCACAATAGGATTCCCAATTACCCCCCCCTTCCTCCTGGTTTCAGGACTCCTACCACTAGCACTGATCATTACATTTTTGGGTTCAAACATACAATTGCCCTCCCATTTGCCACTCCTACACCAAAGGGTTTGTGGGTTTTTTTGACACCTATCTATTAGTGCCAGGCTTATTATTTGGAAGAAGGGCGAGACCCAAGCATAAAAGTGTGATGCTGTCCTCTCTTAACATCTGGAGCCAATACACTCATGTATATCTACGACACAGCACAGCATTACCTGGGTGCTGGCATTTAGGACCTCATAGGCTGGCCAGCCTGTACTTGACAGGGAAAGCTGCATCTTCTTACTCACTTTTAGTTGTGAGGCCAAGAACATGAAAGAACAGCAGGCGGTGCTTCCAAAATCTCCACACTACCTTACGCCATTAGCCGTGTAAGTGCTGCACTACCAAAAAACTATGAGAGAACAAACTGGTTTATGCCAGCAGAGGTCAGTGGGTGACTCTTGCCAAATGTTTGAAACGCACATTGTGTATTACAAATAAGGTTTCAAAGTCAGCCATGTTCCCTCACCCTGGAACACTGAAAAGACATTCTTTGACCAGATGCAAACATTTTGCCCTTATTGATCTTGTTAGCCCACCCAAACAAATGATGATGATGCTTTGTTATGTTACCATCTCCTTGCTTTCCTCTTCAAAATATGTTTTTAGGTTTCTGGCAGACAAAATAAAGGTATATTAGCCCATGAGGCTAGGAAGGGAAAGGGGCTAGTTTCCAAAGCTAATGCCTATTTTTAAAATTTCCATTGCAGCTCCCTACACTAATGTAACCGGTTAAGCAGCTGAGTGTGTTGCTCTGGAATGTACAGTGTATGCTGCTTCACCACCCTGTGAAGCAACACTTCAATGCTATTTTTGTAACTTGCATATAATGAAAAAAAAGTTTGCTAAATAAGTAAGGAAGACAAAAAACCTCTTCTCTCAAGATCTGAAGAGACCTAATGCTTCACCATTTGGGTTAATTAAAAAGCAACTGATAGAGGGAAGAAGCAAGTAACATATATATTACTACATACTAGTCTAAGAGAATCTTCAGATAGTAAGGAAGTTTTGGCTAATTCCATCAGTAGGTACTGTATCACTGTAATGAAAAGTTTGCTCATAAGTAAGCTTGGGGTTTTATTTACATATTTGACTTAAAAAAAAAAAAAAGTTATCACTCACCCTTCCAGCATAGTCACTTCTCTCAGACTATCACATAGCCACAAATGCCCTGCCCATCCACCTCCCATATAGGGAACAAAGGTCCGAGGAATTTAAGAGTGTAATTTGCTTATTAGTCTTCTCAGTATTGTATTACTAGCAGTTATAAATAATTATACCAGTCAAAAAAACTCTAGAAGTTATATCAGACCTAGGCACAAGGTCACCTGGCCCTAAAGCTGAGAGTAGTGAGGGAGTATCAACTCATACAGCCTTTTTCAATAAATTAGCAGTCATTCTACCTCACACATGAGGTTCGTTCTTCTGTTCTTCCTTTAACAGTGATACTCCATTTCCATTCATCTTTGTTTTTAAAGTTGACAGAGTTAGGATCTTTTCCCCATGAAGTTTCTTAAATTGCTGCCCATTTGCTGCAGATATAAACCATGAGCTCTTTAACTATTTGTCAAGTTAATATCAACAATACTTAAGCAGCTGTGGTACAGAGGCTTGGGGGAAAAGGTGTATTGAGACACCTCAAAACCATCGCATGAACTGGAAACTAACATATGACACAATCACGTACAAATTTACTCTCGCATCACCAGCAGTGTGATGAAAAGTAACGCATCTAAACAAAGCTTTTAGGCGAGAGGAACAACATGAGGATTTTACCAGTAGAGTACCTGGGGACAGCTCAGTCACTCTGATCACTTCTTTCCTGTTTCCTTTCTCACTACAGGTCAGCTTCGTGCCATCTTCTGTCACAGACTCATGTTAACTCTTCTCTCTAGACCCAGCTACACTGATGCAAAAGCAAGCAGTACAACTATCAGAAAGTCTTCAGCACTGTCAGCCTGCAATCAAGGCCTCCCAGGTAATACTCTGCTCCAGCAGAGCTCCCAAGAGAAGTTACTTAAATTTTTTTGGCAGAGGGGGATAATAATAAAAAAACATAGATTAGATATCTATATAGTGGCAGGCACCTGACTTCAACTTGTGTCCAAAATTATAATATCCTCCTCACCCTCCTGAGCTCAGTATGTAGGCATCCAGTTTAAAAAAAAAAGTAGGGAAAAAAAAGCAGAAGAGTAAGCATATAGCACTGTGCCTAAAGTCTATATCTGGCCTGAATTCAGCACCTATGTATTTCTACCATCACAAGCTAGTCATCAGGTACCAAACAATTCAACCCAAGCAGCATGAATATCAGAGCAAGCCTGGTTCAGGGACACAGGGCTGGGGAAAGAAAGATGTCCTAGTCCCACTGCTCCCGCAGGAATGATGGGAGCAACCAACTTCTTTACTTTGCAACAAAAGTTTACCTGAAAGGTGGTAAAGTCTAAGTACACCTTTAATGGACTTTTTAAAAACAGTTAAGAGGCAAAAGTTCTAATGCAGAAATTTTTTATTTTCAAAATAAAAAACTTTGTACAGAACATTGTAGATCTTAAGAAATACAGCAGTCTCTGTGATATGACACAAGGGTTTGCTTTTAGCACAGTCCTTTCACACTCTAGCAATCAGAAGGCAATCCCAGCCATTAGGAGGAAAAAAAAAAACCAAACCAAAAAAACCACACACTCATCTGTCAGAACATGTATTTCTAGAGTTCCTTCTTCAGGAAATGTACCTAGAGGGTAGAGCACTCTCCACCTCAGATTGCACAGCTACTCACACTATAAAAACAGACAAAGAGAGGACAAGAGATTTTCAATAGGACAAATGATTTATGAAACAGAACTGCAAGTCTGAGACATAAATAGCTTTTGTTTCTAAATTCCTCTCTCCTCCCCTCCCACACACACTGATGTAATTCCCAGAAAGGTACAAAAACTGTGGATCATTATGTATACACACAGTGCAAATACTGTGCAAGCAGAGAAGCCTAAACCCATGTTTTGTTCTAGTGCTCAATAAAAGCAAGTTGATTCTTCTACTATTCAACTGTACATTATTTATAACATTGCATTCTAATGTTATACAAAGCTAATACAGTAGTTTCCATAACCAAACTAAGCGCATTTATACACTTTTGTGGTTCTCCAGATGCAATTTTCATGGCACCTTCTTTTCTAGAGCACTGGGTACACAAGACCCCATCCACACAGCACATTAGAATTCCTCACTTCCATTTTTGCTGTACTCGTCGCTTCATCTATACTATAATCATGCAGAGCCAGATACAGAAATACAGCTGGACTGTTAAGAAAGAGACCACAGCACTAACCACATTTGTAAGTGCTCACAAACTGTATGCAACCCATTACATCTCCCTTTATTTATTTTTAAAAGCCTTTTTGGTGAGGCAATCATTCTTCCTCATCTGTTACTACAACTAGGGTGTCTCTTGAGAACATTTATCTATTTACGTTTATGCTGCTCCATGCAACTGGAAGAGTAGCTTTAAGCTGGACTGTAGCTTAGAAAGTCCTTGCTTTTAATTTTTTTCAGAGGTAAAACAAATCAGGCTTTTTATTCCAGTCATTGTTTATCATTGGTCCTTTTCATGATAACCAAATTCAACAAATTACCATCTTTCATCCACTTGTAGTTGGCCAACAGTCACATGAACCACTACCCCTCTACTTAACCAAACCCTGGTCTGGAGGCATCCCTCTTCCCCAGGACCAGTGCTGATTCTGCAAAGATGCAGTTCTGCAGTTGCAGCAAGAGCAGAGAGAAGAGAACCCAGTAATTTAACGAAGGGTACATTTTGTTTTAGACAGAGCGGTCACTCCACAAGGTATACCACTACGTTCACATCACTCAACAATAGGCAATAGTCTAGTGCCGTGGAAGTTTTCAGCAGCGGCCTCTCATCTGAGCAAAAATACAAAGTGCCACCCCCAACTGCTGCTGCTGCATTTTTTAAGTGACTTGGAGAATCTCCCTTAAAATGGCCAACGTGCACTTTGAGTACTCTATAAAACCAAATATTAGTGCTTGGAGACTGCTCACCTGCAACTTTTAGGGCTTCCTTTTTGTACTTAAGAATGCATTGTTGTTTTAGAGAATTCCTAGCTTCTATTTGATCATTTATGTTCAGTAAGTCTGTATTGCAGCAGAAGTTGGCCTGGAGTTAAGCACATACCTTTCCGCACTTGGTTCTGTGGGGAACAGTGCCCTGAATTTTCAGAACATCTGTATCTTTCTGTGATCAACTTAAAAGCATAAATTAACCTGCATCACAGATCACTGCATGAATAAAACCCTAATGGCTTAAAGCCCCATCTCCTTTCAGGAAAAAAAAAAGTTATTGGCATGAAAGCAAGGACTGATGCTATCCAATTTGCAAAGTTGTTTAAAAAGAAAACAATGGCCTGTGGGCAGAGACCTTCATTAAACAGTTTTCCCAAGTCTGATTTGCACTGAGATAGGTGAAAGTTCTTTAGCCTTTTTTACCCAAAAGGGGAGGGAAGGCAGGCACTGGCTTTGTAATCTCATCTGATTAAACAATTCACTGTAGGCAATAGCATGACATTGGTGAAAAAGTACATAATTTAAAGGCAGTCACAGCTTCAGTCTTCCATTCCAAGTTCTTGTTTCAGACTGAAATACAAGTAGAAACATGAGTTAGCTCATACCAAAACTCTGTTTGGAAACTCTTCAGACAAATTAATGGAAGCCCTGACAATAAACACAGCTGAAGTTGAGAGCCAAAAGACAGAGTGGATACACCACTTGTTTTGGGTAAGAACCAACATGTCAGAAAAATCATATGGCAAAATCTCAGATTCTAAAGGCAACATGGACTGATCTTGAGATCTACCTGACAAACTGGGATGTGGAGAGCTCCCCTCACCCAGTTTTGAGCTGCTTATCCCACTTAGAGCAGAGCCATGCCACTGACACAATGGCATACTTACCTTTTCAAGTAGGCATGGACATTGTCATAGCCATGGTACTTGGCCAGATAGACCAGGACACCTGTAGCACATCGGCCATCTCGCTGTCTGCAGAAGCTACAGTTGCAGATTCCACGACATGGTGGGCACCTCCAGGTCTAGACAAGACAGACAACAAGCCTTTTTAAATGAACAGGAATGCCAGACATGATTCACACTCACAACTTAAAAGAGGGCCCTGCTCTGCACCAGGTTTGCAAGTGAACATCAGCGCTGCAGAAGTTGTCTAAACCAGTGCAAGAGTACAAATTCTTCAGTCTAAGGGATTAAACTCTCCTTTGCCTGCCTTGCACATAACCACAGGAAGCATTCTACTCTCAACCCCTGCACCACTTCCACAGCCCACAACAGCAGCACTTTGTCCACAATACAGTTCCTTTCCATAGGGCATTAAGCACTAATGCAAGGCAAAAGAAAACACTATTCTGATGCTCAAATACAAGAATATTTTGGCAGCTGCTCTGCTCTCATAGTTTACTCCTGCAAATAAAGCTACAGAAGTAGTAACTACAATGAGTTCTATACAACACAAGGTTCTGTGATTCAGTTTGAATCAAAACAGGACTGCATTATGTACTACAGCACCGTAAGCAGTTCCCCTGCTAAAACTCTTTCACTATGAATAACCAATGCACCTCTCTGCTCAAGTTAAGCACAATAAAGCCAATATTCAAAACTGTCTTACCGGATCCAGCAATGCTGTTCTGACATCTTCACCATACCTATTGCGGAGGCATGGCCCGCAGAATTGGCCCCGTACACCTACACAATCAGGGTTACGACAATTTGTCTTGGTGTCTATGGTTTTTTGGCGACACTGATGACAGGTGGATCCCTAGAACACAGGGAAATTAGTTCAGGAAACAAGACATTAAAGATGGCTCGTTAGTTAGGGGAATAGAGCATTTAACAAGCAATCTCTTTGGCAGCTAGCAGTGCTTATCCTGAAGCAGAAAGCCACCTTGCAAGTTTGAACCAAGACTGTTTTAACATTGCATCTTCAGCGTCTGTTAATCATTCTCCTCAGCTAGTACCACCTAGATACTACAGTTACAGAGGGAAAGCAAGCCAACTGGCTTGGCAAAGGCCATTCTATAAATTCAGGGAAAGGTACGAGATGATGTTTCAAGATCTCAGGCATACTTCTCCCAAAAATCACATCCTTCCTCTCAGTGAGAGGGAGTCTGCTTTATTTAATGCTAAACCACAAGCAGGGAATAACAAGAAAATGACTTCACAAAGTATGCATTTCATAAAGCTGGAATATACTTACCATGGCCCTGTTATATACTTTCTCTCTTGCAGAGCCACAAATATTATTCAGCTCTTCCTCTGTTATCTCTTCAACTGGGCGCACAATGTGTGGAAAAGCCATGGCACCACGGTGACCTCTCCTGGGAGTTCGGGCTTCATGCTGAATAGTGAAGACACAATACTTTTAGTATTAGTTTCAGCAAAAACTCTACAGAAACAAGGTGGGGATCTTCAAAGCAATGCCAAAGTCTCAAATACCCATCATATATTTAAAAAAGCAATAATAGATCTTTGCAAAGACATATGATACAGATGCGGCTTTAGCACCTTCACTTGATCTTTCACTTTCAGGGTGCAGAAATGCTACTGGATCTTGCTTAATTCCTGCTGGAGTGCAACAGGAAGTGATTTTTCAAGGACAAGGTGGAGGGAAATGGAGAACACATACAACACGCTATTTTCTGTACTTCTTCCCAGGCCATGGCATACTCATAATCTCGATCAACTCTGTATGAATTGCTATTTTTTTGAAGGGATACAAAACCACCTTCATGATCAACTTTCAACAGGAGAACTAGAACCTCAACATACCTCCAGGTCTTCATCAGACATTTTTCTTCTTCTCACCAAGATGTACCGGTCATCATCTTCCTCTTCTGGTAAAGGAGTAGGAGGACCTTCAATCAGGGACCTGGATCTTGTGTGAGGTCGAGAACTTCGGTCTGGGTTCCTCCTCAAAGCACTTCTGGGCAATGAACGCCTTGGAAGTCGCTTTGGTCCCTGGAGAAATTTAAAAGCCCCTAATGAAACAGGTGAAAACCCAGACAGCTCCTGTCCCTACTATGAATTCCTCCCCCAAAAGCCATGCCTTCCTTCTGTCTTTCCCAAAGATGAAGTCTCCCCCCCCGTCCCAAATCAGAAAACACAAGGTAAAAACATTCTCGGCAAATTCATCCTGGGCATTCTGCTAGCTGCAGAGAAATAGTCAAAAGCAAGTTCATGTCCATGCGGGTATAAGATACAATAATTCCCCCACACAGCAGTAGAACCCGTGCCTATGAGTTGTGAGCGTTGTTCCCACCTCCACACAGCTTACAGGTAAATTAGCAGTGAAATTTGTTACACTGCTGATTCACAACACAACCTTCTTTAAGGACCTAGTTAAGCCAAATGTCAGGTTTTCTTCAAGGCTCCGAACTCAGAGAAAATTCATGCTTGAGCTTCAAAGTCTGAACTGCCCCCCTTATCTCCAGCCTTTGCATAAATACATATTTACACAGCACCTTCTTTAGTTTTATTGGCCTGTGGAGACACCTAACCTTTATGAATTAATCTATTCTGCTTTATACAGTGGTAAATCAAAAGAGAATTGCACAATGCCCGTTTTAGGAAGCAATAAAATTCTCAACTGAACTTAGATTTATATCGTTTGTTAAGTTTTTTAATTGAGAGTCCTGTTTTGTAATGTCAGAATTTGACCCTCAGAAGTCTGAAGGCTTACTTATAAACTAAGTTTATACTTACATGACTGACAGTTGGCAATGATTTTCTCCCACCAAAGATACCAGAAACATTCTGCAACTCGGCCATTAGTTTGGCAAGCTAACAAGGGAAAGAAAAAGGAAGCAGAGCCTTAAAAGGGTGTTTATATGCTATTACAGACTATTAGATTAGGGCAATTGGCTAGATGTACAATTACTTACAGAAAATGCAGTTACTCTTCAACTTTTTACTTCTATGTCTTATTTATGTTATAGTGACTGCAAGTAATTTGAAAAAAGCTCAAACGTATTATGTTGATGCCCTATTCTTTAGGCTTGCAGCCAGCAGATTTTTACTGAAGTACTTAGCCTATGGACTTTCACATGCCAGTGGACATAAACTATCAGATTTAAATACTAGGAATGTAATGAGCCAAAGGGGAGGAAAGGCAGGGGAGAAGGGGTGGTCCCCAGGGAGACACTGAATACTTGCCATTGCTTTGTTTTCCTTTATGTTTAAAGCTCTTCTTTCTAAAAACATGGCACCCTTTTCTTCAGAGTCAGAGTCTGAATCTGGAGCAGGCATCAGCTTTTCAGGAAGAGGTTCCATCACACCCTTCCTCCTCTCCGATCTTCGAGGTGGAAACTTCATGGCTACTTTTAGAGGAATAGGGCATTTCTGCCTTCTCTGAGCTACTTCACTTTCAGCACTTGTATCATTCTCCTCTGAATCTGATTCCAATTTCTGTTAACAAACCAGAATGGAAGCATATAAACCCAAGTGAGTTGCTCTGCAATTAAATACAGTTCAACAATACTTTGTTTGGGGGTGGTTGAAGTGGCTATCTGGCTGAAATCTAGATGTTTAAATCTCCAGTCCTATTGTTCTAGTATATTTTAAGGGGGAGGCAGGGAAGAGGGCAGGAGGAGAAGGGGACACAGGGATAAAAAATTCTCAGGGAGAACCACACTTTACTGCCGCAACACATCAGAAAAAGCTTGGTTTCAGTTACAGCAGTCTTAACTGTCACTTGCAGGTCTAATAGCAAAGATAGTTTGTGTGCAAGTGCGAGAAAGAGAATTGCCTTTAAAAGGCTCTATTTTGCAACATATTGTATTTGGCTGTAAAAAAAGCCACTACACAGTTCTTAGCACAGGGTCAAACCCAAGTTTGTAAGCTGTCAAGAATAGCCATCTCGCAGTGTCAATGCTATGAAGTGAAAACTTTCTTCTAGAGCCAGTCAATGAAATAATTATGAATAAAATCCCAGTATTTTCTTATCTTTGAATTCTGATGCTTTGCTTAAAACTTTTGCAAGAACCAAGGGTTCAGCAAGGACAGAAATTCATTCCTTTAGTCAAAAGCCCATTTTTGCAATAGGCTTTGACTTTTACGTTTCGACTCAGTAAGACAGTCTTATTTTGGTCATAGGTAACAACAGGCTTCCTGCTTCATATGCATAGACCATCAGTCTCAAATGGCAATCCTTATTTGTACAGGGTTTTTATTAAACCAGGTATATGGTTCTGATTCCTTTTTCTTACATACCTATTCCAGCTTTGTCTCCTACTTATTCTCTTTACTGTTGTCTATTATTTAACTCAGACACGTCCTCTTCCAGTAAGACATTCTTTTCTAGTCATTCCTCAGCATGTTCTGAAGTTCCGACAAACCTATTTTGTGCCAAACATGGTACTACTTCTATCTTCACTACTAAATACCAACTACTGGTCTTTTTAAGCAATAAAACTGCTCTTGCACTGATGTCAAGGAAAAGCAGGAAGGCAGATTTCACCACCTATCACTATTTCTCTACTGCTAAAGCAGCACAGCATTTCCTGTTATGCTGTCAGAGTGCAGGTCTGACTGCATGTCAATATACACAGAAATTTTTCTCAGGTTTGCCAGAGTCCATGGGATAGCATAATTATTTCACATTGAGGAAACCAGAAACATTAAGAGTCTAAAAAAATAACATCCAGCAAGGACAGTTTTAAGAGGTATTATATTTCAAAATCCATATGGCAGATTTTATTCTGAACTTGCAAAGCTTGGGGGCTTTTTACTGAGGCAAAAAGAAAATGAAACCATGACTACTTAGACCGTACATTAAATTAAATAAAATGATGCTTCTTTCTGACAACATTCAACTTTCACGCTGAAGCTGTCATTATTTTTCAATTAAGAATGTGTAAGAATTTAAATTTAAAATTGCCACCCAAAATCAACTGTCTTACCAATGCATCTTGAATCTCGTTTTCTGAAAAACCAGGGAAGGATTCATCATCAGAGGCTTCATGAAAAATTTTCGCCAGTTCTTCTCTAATATCAGACCTAAACTTGCGTTTCTACGAAGAATAAAATATCCTTTAACTGAAGCTGTACAGAAAATGATTCACATTTACAAGTGCACTATAAGCAAATATCTTTTTTAATAAAGAAAAAAATAGTTAAGGCATTTAACAAAGGGTTTCAGAACCGCAGTTGCAAATTATCAGGCATGTTAGGTTAGGTGACATTTCAAAGGCTAGAATAAATAGCTAATTTGTTTCCAACAATTACCACCTAGAAGCACAGGTGAAGACTGAAATGAAATTACAGCATATAGCATAGATTTGTAACTACTATACAAAAACATAAGCAGAACAAGTGCTTTTAATCCTGCACAAAACATTTACTAGCTTTACATTTTTGCAAGCTTTACTAGCACTGCACACTCAGTTTTATTTGTTCTTATACTGTACTTACCGTGTTTGCAAAATTATCAGAACCAAAACTGTCACAACTGTCATCGGAGGATGAGGATGTTTCCATGGGAATCAGTTTCGTATTTCGGAATACCATGAAGTTTTTCCTTCCTGAACAAGCTCGGCGCTGCAAAAGGACACAATATCAACACCATTAATAGAACAGACCTACTGTAGCACACTAGCTTTTAAGAAGATCCTTAAAACTGAAGTTTAGGAGGTCTGAACATTTCAGGACGTTTAACAGTCTTGTATTCAAGTCAGCAAAATTATCAGCAGCTTCAAAAGAATTGCCAAAGTTAGAAACGGGAATAGTTTCTGCTCTGATACATTTCTGATCATTGCTATAGAAGAGTTTTTTTCAGTATTTAGACATACTTCTTTTATGCAAACAGCCACGTGGAAATATACACAAAAATCATACCCTTCTGCACTCATTATAGACAATGCTGGGAAAAAATACAAGTACACAAATAGTACCTAGAAATCTCCTCTGATTTACTAATTGCTTTTAGTTTGAGGCACACACTAAATACACTGCAGCTGTTAAGGAAGGGACTAAGGATCATATCAACAGAAAAGAGGAGCACTGAAACAGCTGTTCTAGACACAACAGCTTGATGTTTTGTTAATTTTATTACCAGGCTGAAACACCTTTTTTTGATGAGCTTCAGGTTTTCATTTCCCAGGGACTGTTTCTACGGGCAATGTCTCCTTTTACCTCCCCAGGGTAAGGCCAAGCCTGCTGCAACCACACTTAGACGCCACCCAAGTCCAGCGCTTTAACCGATACCAGCTCACGGGCACAGCCGACCGGGCCAAATATTTTATAAATACAGCTTAAACAGTAACTAGCCAGGGCAACTTAAAGACCTCCGTCTTCTCCCCAGCACCGTTCAGCAGGCTGCTTTTCGCAGGACCCCTGAGGCTTGCCCACGCTTCACAGTTTTGCCGGTGCCGACGAGGAACAGAAAACCCTCCCGGCCCGGCCTGGCACGGACGCGGCCCCAGACACAAAAGGGGCCGTTTCTGGCGTCGCTCGCCGCGGCTAAGGGAGCGCCCAGCCGGAGAAACCCCGCCGCGGCGGGCCGGGCTGCACCGGCGGGCCTCCAGCAC